GAACCCATTTTCAAATTCTCAGAGGGCAGCAAGAAACTTCACGGTTTTCCTATTGGTTTTGAAGTTTATTGTAGAATGAGGAGGAGCCCTGCTACTACAGCTATACTTCAGTTTTAAGTTATAACTATACCATGACTTTACCTATTTATTTTATAGAAGTGAACATGGGCATTACTTTGAGACTACTGGTTAAAAGTTATGTGCTTAAAAGTAGAATTACTTCTTTAAAAAAAAATTATGGGGTACACTATATTGGTTACTTACATTCTTAAATAAGCTACCAATGTTTTTCTTTTAGTATTTATTCTGTTTGGTTGCAAAGCCCACTTGTTTCCATTGTGCTTCCTGATTTCATATGGCGAAACCATCAATGATGATGCGACAAGGGGTTTGTTCTTCAGCCACCTTATCACAGAGCCTGTTTTTAGCTGTGAGTGAGTGACTGGCCCATAGTCACCCAGCTGGCTTCTGTGCCTAAGGGAGGATTAGAACCAGAGTCTCACTGCTCCTAATCCAGTACCTTAACCACTTATACTACATTGGCTCTCAGTAAATAAGTAGCCAATAATTACAATAATAATAATATACAGGTCTATCTGTACATCCCTCAGAAGTAAGAATTAAATTCTGCAAAATGTAATATAATCCTATTCCTACTATATATGGTTATGGCTGCAGATGGTTTTTTTTGCATGATAATTATATAATGGTAAAGGTATCAAGTAACATGGCAATCCTGAACTACAATAATTGTTTCTCACTCTGCTCACTTCACCTGTATTAAGCTTACTGGTCTCTACACATGGACTCTAGCATTTTTGCTGTGCAACATCTGAGTGCCAGATGTTGTAATTCATCACATCAGATCTTTTCCCATCAAACATTTAAAATAATCCTTTAACAGAAATAGCATTGCAACATGTCAGGACAAGTCCAAAGTGAAACCTAACACCGTATCTGTACTTCACCATACTCTGCAGACATTCATACTACAATTTAACATTGTAATTAGATGTAGACTCCATAATGCGATCCCTCCCCAACTTTTTCTTTTGCAATTTTATCTGATGAAGTTATTGAGAGAGATTCACATTATTTGGTTACCTTGACTTGGCATAATAAAGGCATTGTCTTAATATAGATTCTGGAATTTCCTTGCTCTCTTTGAATTCAGATAAAGCTTCAATAAAAATGTCAAACCTTGATGTTAATTCTGCATCACCAGAAGTTTCTGTGTAAATCCAACTATATTCTAAACAGTAGATCCATGGTCTGGCTTGTTCAACCAATGAACAAGATGAGATGTACTTCTCTTATTGTCCTACGAAAGCCCAAAGAATATGCCAAAACAGAATACCTTTTTCAGAAATGTTGCAGCAGTTTCTCGTTTTGTTGCAGTAATACGTTTTACTCCCTCTGGTGACTGGACACGGATTATCTGTAAGGAATTTTAAAGATTTGGGAAAAAGTTAGATAGCAAAAATAACTTAAGTCTACCAAATTTTCATGATTAAGGCAAAAAATGTCATACATAGAAGTCTAGAATACATGAGAGATGTAACATTTCAATAATTTTGTGTTTAAAATATAAAAAATAGTTTCTATCAAAAATAGGTAGCCAGTAGAAAGAATAAAATCAATAGCTAAGTACAACCTATTTTCACATTTTCAGTTTACAATACAAAATATTAGAAAAATATAGAATGAATTTTGAGTTTTTAAGTTACAAACTGCAGAAATTAAACTCAGGCCTCTAAGAAAAATTCACAAGCTTTTCAGACTGTAAAAAAATTACATCACATTGCATCATTAATTGCTAGCACGCTTCATTTTAAAGGAAAATTGTCATCCATCTTCATTAAAATGAAAAGTCACACCAATCCTGTGGGATACACAGGGACAGAAACAGAATAGTAGCTATTTACTGAGAAAAACAGCAATTCATATGAAATCACGCTCAGCTCTGGTAAGAGGCTAACTTGTTTTTGTGCAACATTTAGCACTAAACTCTATACTGTATCATCTTGTGGAATTTAAAAAGATAGACAAGCTGCATAAATGTGCACAATCCTGTATCACTTGCTATGCCTCTGCTCAGAGTTCGAATCTATACTTGAACGATTATAAAATTTAAGGGCAGATTTTACATATAAGTTGGTGCTAACCTCACTGCAATGTAAGAATTAACAATGGTGGAAATTCACACATACAAATTGTCTATAAAATGTTTGAAACACTGTTTCAATGTTAGATTTTTTTTGAAAACAAGTGTTGGAAAACTACAACAGTGAAAGGAAGCAATCCTATACTCCTATAGTCGCTTCCTTGATAATCCTATCACAGTAAGCATAGATAACTTCAGATTGAATATGAACAAGATGTGGCTACACTGCAGCATCATTGTGAAGCAATTCTGTCTTTAAAAGGTAAAGATGCCCTTGTGTTCAGCTCAACTCCTCTACCTCAAAGTGCTGATTCCATAATTCCACCCAGGATTCCACCTGGAGACACAGCTAAATGACTAATCCTAAGACCATGCCAAACCATTAATTATCTCCTTGAACAATGTCCACTTTTTAAAATCTCTTTAAAACTAGATATTTTTGTGGGTGTGTGTGCTTTCTGTTGTGTACGAATCTCAAGAGTATCTCAAGTGAGGAAACTATTTTTAAAAATAGGAACATTTAAAAGTTTGGTTATATATTTAAAAAAATTAAAGAAAAGCTGAAAGACTACAATATCCAGATGTGGACGTACAGACAATTGCCAACTCATGCCTCAGGAGATATCCCAAAGCATAGATACTGCTAGTCAAAAAACTTGACAAATGTTATGCATAAACTAGAATTTTACAACACTGACAAAATTTTGAGAAAAATAGCAAATAGCATTTATTTCAAAACTGTATAATCTCCCATAGTTTTACTCTGAAAAGTGTAATAGTCATAGCATTTATCCAAAGTACCATGGTTATCAGGCAGTTTAAAAATGTAATAAATAAAATTGAAAGTTTAGTATAAACTTGGGCAATAAAGAAATCATATATAATCTGAATTGAGGTATAAGCTGCCTAAAGAACACCATGAGGACACCCTATTTTAAAAGTAAACTAAAGATTCTGTAAACACTTTATCAACTTGCTGATTCAACTCAACCAAAAGCAGGCTTTAAAAGGAACTGAATTCATATTATAGTCTAGCTTCTGAGATGGAAGGCTACAGGTTACCTACCAAAATTGCTCAAGAAAGATGTTGCCTGCAATTTGCTATATATAATTTTATCAATGACACCCCAACACAATATAGCCAATACTAATTCCATAGATAAAATATTGACAATTTATTAATACAAAACAAGGCAAACTAACAACTGTATTAAAATTTGTGCTGCCCAATTTTATGCAATGTTATACAAACCTAGCTGCCAAAAGATAATTTTAATTTGGGTTGGTCCTGCCATTCATAACATTCTGTTTTTCCATCTATTTCTTTATTAAAATAAAATTTTATAGAAGAGAAAGATGGAAGTGTAAAATGCTTTTAACGGCAGTAGGATCTGCCTACTCTCCAGTATGCCTTAGCTGAACTTTCTAACTGACCATAAAGGGCAGGGAAGAATTTTTCACCTCTACCAATTCAGATAAGAAAAAACATTGTAGATACTTCTTAAATGCTGTTAATGGAAAGCAAGTACTAGATTACTTCTAGCATGGCCAAAGCTTCCCTTATTTACTAAGACTAGTTTCCTACTGTTTAAATCCAAAAACAAGCGACCCACAGGGATACAAATATGGTTTATATAACCGTATCTGGCATACAAACTAACACAAGACTTAGGGCCTTGTGGGCAGGAAGCCATACGTCCTATGGATGTGGCTATCTTAATGTACTGCAAGTAATGTTAATATGGAACCTAGATGCCAAAATATAAAATAATTAGGGACTGAAAGGAAACTATTCAGGTAGAGTTATAGAAAGTTTGTCAGCCTTTCCAACTTCTTGTTGCCTTCTAGATGTGTTAGACTACAACTGCTATGACCATACCAACTTGGGATGATGGGAGTTGTAGCCCAATATTTCAAGAGAAGAACCTTTAGAGATAGGCTCTTATTATATGTATTGTGCATTTGTACCAAACCAACAGCTTTTAATTTTCTGACTCCCTGCATATCCTGCCCTAAAGACAGAGAGCATGATTTAGTCCAACTTACTAGACATATCCATGCTATCGATTTGTATTTAGTTTCCTTCAGAAAACTTGGGGAATTCTGCTTTTGAAAACTGTTCATTTCTGGTCCAGCTTACCAAGTCCCACTACTTTTGGAGGGAGAAAAATATATTATAAAACTGGCTCAGAGCTGTGATGTGCTGAGTTGTTCTCTCTGATTAACTGAAAAGAGAAACCGATCTTTTAACCCTCGCTGAAGGCGTGGGCCCTATCTTCAGTTGGATCAGCTCCCCCGGGTCGGTGGCCCATTAGACCGATTCCCCCCCAGCGAAGCCTCCCTTCAGAGACGTCGCCGCGATCTCCCTCCTCTTCCTCAAACCTGGCAAGGAGACGGGACAGGAAAATAAACCCCACCACGAGCTGTGCTTCCCACGCCAGAGGAAAGCCCAGAGCAGAGCTGTCAGCACCCAGCCGGGGAGGCGCTGGGGAAGAGGGGAGCCAAGGGGGAGCTGTGACCGCGGCGCCGGTCTAGACGCCCCCCTCCTCACAATGACAAAAGACCGGAGGGAGGTACCCCCGGACGAAGGGAACAGAGGAGGGAGATCCTCTCCTTCCCTCCCTGGCCTCATCCCCTTAGCGTACCGCCCTCGCAAGCCGAACTTACAATGGTCTCCGCCATATCCTTGCCGCCGCTCCGACCCTCGTCCTGCCCCGGCTCCGGTAACTCCGCCCACTACCCGCCCTTTCTGCTGCTCGTGCGCCGCCAATACTGCCGCGTCACCGTTCCCGCCCGGTAACGCAGGAGAAGCAACAAGGTTCCGGGTAGAAAAGGTCCGTCCCCGAAGAGGACTCTGCCGCCGCCTCTTCTTCCTTTCCCATGTCTGGCTCCGCCTGGTGGCCCTGGCTATCCGAGAGGGATATTCCTCCGTGGGGTCTGGGCCGGATGCGCCTCCTTGCACCGAAAAGCTGGAAAGGGAACAGGCATGCAGATGCCCAGCTGTTACGGCACAAAAAGCCGTAATAAAGTCTTAGTCTGCGCTTAAGAAAACCAGGCCCAGCACTACCCAAACTTTTATCCACAAAGTTGCTGCAAAAGGGTCTCTGAGGAAAGCTGCTTTCTATTCAAAATGCATTCTCTTTATACTGAGAGGTGATTTTACTTGAAATAATTAGTTGGGCCAGATTTGAATATCATGCTAAGCGTTGTTAGCTTTGACGTGGTTTGGTGAATAAGCCACAACCAAGACAAACCATCTTTTGTCATATTACGGGAGTCAATCCTGCCTCATAGGACTATCAGTATTAGTTGAGTTTACATCCTACTAAGCCATAATATATTTTGATTTTGGTCTGTTGTGATGAATGAATTCAGCCTTTGTGGCTTGTGACTGGTTTATGACTCAGGTTTATGACTCAGGATGTAATGTTAACATAGCTAATACTGGTGTCAACAAACTGTGATTAAGACAAAGGGATAGTGTGATGCATGAGTCTGGCTATTTTAATTTCAGATCTTTTAGATACATTTAGCAGCCTTTGAAAATGAAGGTATGTTCTATCTAAATGGAATTATTTTAAATTTAGATTGTTTTCTGTGTATGTCTGTAAAGGTGAAACTGCTGTATTAATAAGGGAAATTTAGTTTTGTAATCAACAATCCTTTTTTTATTCATGTATGGCCTGCTAGACATATTAAGCTAAGCCATAGTTTGCTTAATCATAATCATTGTGTAAAACACAAATGGGCATCACCTAATATGCCATAAGCCATGGTTGCAAATCACAATGGGTTCACATAGCATATTAAGGCCAAAATGAAACAAACCACATGTGATAAGCAAATGTTAATAACTATTATTGGAAGGAGAAATACTGATCAAAGCATGCATTTGCAACACATGTCATTCTGACAAATAATTGGATGTTGACCCAAACCGTTTTCAAACTATCCTTTGGAATATTACATTTATGATGTAATAAATGTGTTGTAACTCAGTCATAAAACCTGATACAATTTCTCTAAGCAGTTTGACAACCTTCAGTATTTAATATAGTTATCTCATATATTTAATTGTAGTTGCAGAGTAATTAAACTGATCTGGGTCCAGGTAAATGTGCTTAGGTCAGCCATTTGTATTGGTTCCTTTCAGCAAAAGCTTACCTTTAGATTCTGGGTTGTGTTTGCTTACAAACCTGTTTGGGGATGCTATTTAAGCTCTCTTGTAAATATCCCAAAAGTTATCATTTGTTTCTAATGTACCATGGCAATAGCAGCCAATCACAATGTATTGTATGGATTGCACATCACTATCTCCTGAATTGTGTAGGTGTGGGGAGGATATCTTGGGTCTTGGTGATACTGCATAACTTTATAGAGATTCAGTCCAATATTCACTTTACAATTACTATAAGTATGAGGCTTTTACAAACCATGTTTTAGATAATGTATCTCTTGACAATATGGCTGAACCTCATTAGTACAGTGGTACCTCGGGATACGAACGCCTCTACTAACGAACATTTCGGGTTACGACCAGCTTCGG